GCATCCTCTGACTGCGCTTGCTAGTTAATGAGGCTGCGTCACAAAGCTTGACAATGAAGCAAGGATGGAAATTGTCTGTAGGGCATGTTTTCCGTACCTTATCTGCAAACCATACATGAGTAGAAATTAAGCATTAAGTTGTAGGATACCATCTGCAGAACTTGTGAAAAAGAACCTTGTTACAGAAACACCATATTACAAAATAATTACAATAAAATAATTATTGTTAATTAGGCAATTGGTCACTTACAGAGTATAGCACTTTAACCGATTTAGAGTCTATCAAATTTTCACCTTAACTTTGAATTTTCTAGGCATTTTGCTTGTATGTGGAACTCCTAACAGATGTAGGTGCAGTGGTTTTAACAACCATGGACTACAAAACATTGTACCTGCCAAATTTTGTTTAAAATAACAGAAATGTTAGAGCATAGCTAACTGCTATATCATTGAAATCTACATGCGCAATTTGCACCACTCTGGCCAGGTTGCACACCGCCTTGGATTCCCATCACTCCAAGGTGAACTGTTTCACAAGGCTATGGAAATCAGAAGAATTGCAGCCTAACAACTAAATGTTTGGCCCCCCTCTTTTTGACTACAATTTCATCCTGTAAGCAAATATGCGTGTTAAGTACAGTCAACACATAAAAATGTAAATTACTTCTCCACAAGAAAAGCAGTACTGAAAAAGAATTAGATGTTCTTGGAACCCGCAGAAAGATTTAACAGGATGAGTCAAAAATCTCTATTTAAATGTAGAAAAGTCATCAATAAGAAAGCTAAATGTTGCAAGTTATTCAGATAGAGAAAAATCCGTTTTCCTCCACTCCAATGTACTCCTGTACACTGCTCAAAGGCAGAGCTTTTTTATGAGCTATCTGCAGGGCTCCAAGGTTGCTTCCTGCAAGCGTCGTTAGCATGTCTACTGATCTGCGAGGGTCGTGCTTTCTGAATGCTCATTTTCTTTGCCAGGAAAATACCACAGATGAACGTTACAAACAGTTACGTTAGCCAAGCTTCACATCTGCACACACTTGAAAACGCAGTTTGTCTCATTTCTTTTAGTAATTTCTGGCAAATCTGAAAATATGCATAAGCTTTGTGCAGTATGCCACACCTGGCTGATTAGCACTCACGCCGTAAGTGCCGCTGATGCAACCTATAACACACCTGTCACCCTGTTGTGGAGCCTAAATACTGTAGTGTGCATAATACGTTCATTTCTTAAACAGTGTGTTTCATTTCATCATAATGAGGTACAACCTGGAATAAAAAGTTACCGTCATATCAGAAAACACTATAATCGCTTGATACAAAGAACGGTAAGCAACTTAAATCTATGAAAGCTTTAGAAGGAAATCAAAATCCCTATGATTGAATGCGATTGTTCCTCTGAAATGATATTTAAGACTCCTTAATATAAAACAAATAATCCAGAAAATTTTTCAAGTCATTTTTGTGTTAGAGATTGATAACAGATATGATGAAAGTACTGAAGTCATAAGAACATGATAAGTACTGTTTCATATTCTCCATGCTACAGCCTTAAGGTTTTTGTCTGATGTGTGTCCAGCACGGCTTCTCTGACCACAAGGCTATTAACGTTTGTTGTCCTTAACTGTTAAGGTGGTTGTGTGCTCTAATCCAGCTGCCACCATACATCATGCTAGGTGAGCAGTAATGTGATCATGGGTGATCAGGTGATGGCATCTGATCTAGCCAAAAGCAAGGCTGAAGATGCAAGTCTCTCACAAGACTGGTAACACTGGCCAAGTACAGAAAAAATCAGAAGCGGGGAGCAGGCAAGGGTGCACCCTGTCTCCAGAGACCGTGCGAGCAGGAGCTCGGGGCATGAGCTGGGTCTGACCCAGGTCTGCTGGGTGCTGCTTCCAGGTCAGGAGAGCCCCTTCTTCCCCTCCGCCAGCACAAAGACATCTCAGAGTCACCAGCAACTTGCCTGCAAAAGGTCCTATGCTAGTCATAACAATGTATTTTGGTCAGCTGTAGCTCACTTTCAAAGAAGCAAAGTTTAAGTGAAAATAATGCCTGTGACAGAGGAGGTCACTGGAAAATTATGGACTTTTCCCTTTATTATTGTTTCCACAACAACAACTGACATGTTTATTTTTCCTATAGTGTGGGTTACACGGTGTCATTTGGCAACCTGCTAAACACTTTCCCATTTATCATTCCCTACTGACTGCAGGATGCAATAACTGTCAAGAGATGTATGCTTTTAGAATCACAGGTTCAAAAACATTACTGCACTACTTTTATTGAGTAACCCCCTGGCATTACATACTGTAATCACAAAGAGAATGAATCAGATAAAATGGTAGGACAATAATCAATGTGCTGTCCTAAAAGCTGAAAACATACAAGATTAAGCAACAGAAAAATAAAGATCTCAGTAAAATAGATTATGTTTATTGGCTTTCTTAGTCAGTTCTACATTTATATAAATATGTTCATGATCAAGTATAGAATTGACATGAAGAAATGGACAAACTAAAGAAATGCTGAAGTCTTGTGTGAAGAGTCAAAGAAATTCGCAATATACTTAAAAAAGAGCAAAAGTGTCAGCTCAGCTTCTGCCCACAAAGCCCCCATGATTTATAGCAGAGCATCCCCACCCGTTCATGCTCAAGAGCACTTCCAATGCAACTCGTTCCCTTAATCTCTTCCCCCACTCTCCTCCCTCCCATCCCCACTGCAGCAGGGTTACAGGGAGGGAAAACTGCCAGGATCCTGCATCTCCTTCTATTAATTCTTATTTCAATTTTTCAAAAGTTTTAGCCAATTTTGTCAATGTTCAAGTAAACAGCAATCCATAATTGCATGAAGCAATACACACAGTAATCAATGCTACTCAAAAAAAAAAAAAACAGGCCACAGAGGAATAAGATCCATCATTTGGGAACAGATTGACCTTCAGAAAATATGGAAAGTCATATGATTACAGCTAAACACCAAAATTCAGCTTCCCGTTAGATTTTTAAGCAATCCTTACTGAGGTGGCAAAAATAGCAGTCTTAAATTTGGACAAATTTTCTCCCATTTACCCTAAAGTTCAAGGTAACAAGATTTACTAGGAAAACAAAGACTTTTAAAAACAAGTTTCAAGATTCATACTGCAATTAAGATGCCTTTTCTTTTCTGGGATAAAATCTCCTTCCATGTTCTGTGGACTTTAATAGGATCAGGATTTCAACTAATTTAGCTTAAATTGTTACTTTTGAGCTTCAGATGGAGTTTGCCCTCTCAGCTACTTTGACTTTTGGATTTTGTGGCCACTTTCCACAGCTCTTCTTTTGGAAGACAGAAGTGAAGAACGATATGGGGAGATCTGAAGGTAACGCAAGGTATTCCCACGCCTGTGAAAGCAGTTTTCACGCCTGTGAAAAAGTTCCAACAAAGGAACTTTTTTTCTTTTCTTTACTCAACATGTGCTCTTCTGATTAGAGATAAAAATAAAGGAGGCTAAATAAATATATATATATATAGAGAGAGAGAGAGAGAATTTTCAATAGCAGCTAATATAGCTTAAAATTAGTACTTTTATTTGGAAAAATAGAAAAAAAATCCAAATTTTAAAAAAAGACTATTCCTGACAGAAATGACAATTCAAGACTATTAAACATATTTTCCTATGAAGGATTATTTGTAACTTTAATTTAAGGATGTAAAGAAGTTAACTTTTCTTTTGCTATACTACACATGTAAAAAAAGATCAAAGAAAGAAAAGAATTGAGATTCAAATTCCATTTTTAAGCAAAAATGACAATGTCTTCCTGAGTTAAAATTAATCCTTTAATGATGAATTTCAAAGGTTTAAATACTTTCTGTGACCTTGGCTTTAAATAATTATGCCAAGCAGAGCTTTCCTTACATTCAGAAAAGATTCTGAATTGTTGATCACAGCCATTTTAATGGCTTCAGGCTGGCTGATTTCCAACATAATCCTTCGAATGCTGTTTAAAATTACAGACCAAGAACCTGATGCAGGTAAATGAAATGTCAGTTCCACAAAGGCGCTCAAACAGCACATGCATAGTGTTAATTTGTGCCACTATACATCATTTTGCAATAAAATGTATCCTTTATTACATTAATACACAGAAAAGATACTTACACAAGTATATGCTTACATAAATGCAGAGTTTACCATAAATATTATGTATGTTTTTTAAGCTTAGGTTTTGACAAATTAACATGTTTTAGTTCCCATCATCCCTAACGTGGCAAAACACTTGAATTCAAGGAGCCGATAAAGGGCAATTCTCAGCAGCCGGTTGAGGGGGCAGCATCAGTGCCGCGACGGGCTGGCGCTGACCCGACTGAACAGAACAGGGACAGAGGCCTTGAGGCATCTGAAACATTAATTTTATTTTCAAACATTTCACACAGTGCTTCAACCAATACACACAAGCAAGCAAAAGTAGATCAACCATTGCTAGTAACTAGACCTATTTTCCTTGGGGTTTTAGCCTGAACTTTTTTCTCCTCAATAACCTTCCGTCTTTTCGACAGAGAGGGGAAAAAAAAAAGCTTATTTAAAGCAGAACCTCCCTTCCTGCTCTACCTAGTCCGATAAAGGAAAAGTGATTAGCCTCGTCCTTGGCCAAGTTTGCCTTTGAAATCATCGGGATTTTAAAAAATCACTTCCGCTACTTAGTACCGCACATTTGTTTGTCTCTGTTCGGCTCTTACAACTGCTCAAAGGTGCTGCCACAGCAGCACTCGCACAAAATAGCTACACCGGCAATCACCACCATTACACCTTCAGATAGAAGCAGTCTCTCATTATAGGACCACAACATTTTCCATACTCACGCAGTGATTGTGGCATCCAGCGTCAGATTTCCAGCATACTACTATGTTTTTTAAACTCAAGTGACCCCTAAACATTTTTCCTTAAGAAAACTTTATTTATGTGACTTTTGAGACGACTGTTCCCCTTTTGCCATGCCCTTAGAGGCACCCTGTGAATCTCTTACCTTTTCCAAGGCCTTCTCTGTTTCTGCAGCATGTATCTTCTTCAGGTCTAATGTCATTTTTTCTGCCTCTGCTTTAAGCTTATTCACTGCTGTCTCATGCTCTCGAGCTGCCCTCTGCTTTTCTTCTTCCCGCAGAAGGCTCAGCTCTACCAGCTGCTGCTTCCGCTGAGCATTTACCTGCACAAGCTCTTCCCTCAGCTTGTGAATTTGGGTCTCCATATCACAGATAACCTGAAATAAAGAACAAATAAGGTTAAAAAAACCCAAACAAACCTATTTCCTCAGACAGGCTTTTAGCTAGAGTAGGAAGATTCTCTGTCCTTCTCCTTTGCCTCCTTTATTGCTCTTGCGCTCCTCTTCCCATGTGCAGATGAATGCAGCTCCTTCCTGCCCAAAGCGTGGGCAGAGCAAATTTTACTTTTTCTGAGGAGTGCAGCAGGTGAAGAAATTTAGGTGTTCACCTGTAATCACCTTCATTTTGTAACACCTCTTCATTCCTTCCCCAATTTCCTTCTTTTCCATTTTCTTCCATACTCATTCAGAAAATTACACCTCAGTTACGCAGGAGGGATCTGAATGAAGAGGGAAGAAGCTAAAAACTCACCTCTTCTCCGTCACCTTTACGCTGACCCCAGATGCATACAGGAGCAAGCAAATATTACATGCACTTATAAAACACACACAAACTACAGATGATGCTCACAGCTTTTTTTTTTTCCCTCAAGAAATGACCTGCCACCTTCTAACGGGGATATCAGTATATCAAAAAATCATTTATCACTCATTGTTACAGATTATATACCATGCTTCCTTATAAGGCTAACGTGCACAAGGAACGTATCTAACAATGTCCATCAGGTGAAGAAAGTAGAGCACTTTCAGAAAGGACATAAACAGATGACACAGGTCAATGCTGAGACTCTTCAGACTCTGTGAATTCACTATAGATGAGATACACAACCTTCCACGTGCAAGACACAGACTGAAGAATTCACAGGGCTCTTTTATGTGCTTACAGATCACCCTTCGATCCTTGGGAGCAAAATATTTTGTGCTGCTCAGCAGCGGCATCAGGCGCACGGACAACAGTGCCACAGCAGGAACAGCAGGGAGCCATCTCCCTGCGAGGTGGGAAGCCAGAACCCCTTGAAAAGTGTGAAGAGTGGAAATTATGTGCTGTAAATCTGCTAAAGGAAAACCTTTAGCTACCCTTGAAGTACACAGAACATACACTGTTACTTTATAGTAGTAGTAGAGTATGTTGTAATTCAGATTTACGCTTGCATATACTTGCACTAGTTATTTTTCTAGCCGCATTTCTTCTGCGGCTTCCTAAATGAAGTACAACTGCGTTCTGCATCTGTGAAGTAAAACTGCTGTCCTTATAGCTAATTGCAATATATTGACCTTGCAAACACACTTTCTAATTCATAAATATAGTTCTGAAAGAGAATATTTTCACTAAAATCCTCATACAATATTTCTATAATTTCCATCCTTCCCCTTTTTCTCCGTCTCCCAAGTATGGTCGCAGCTCCCTGGAATTCTTTCATAAAGGATGTGATAACAGCAAAGTGACAAACCGATGCCCTACCACACACAGTAGGGAATTCAGCTAAAGTTTACTAAAGGTTTCATAAGAAAACCTGCTTTAAAATTACTATATTTTTAAAAATCCCATTGGCATTGAGTGCCAGTTACTGCTTCTAGCGCTCTGAGCCGATCTCTCCAACTACTCTTTTTCTTCTTCAGACATCCTTGCTATAGGATCTGAATCCAGCTAAACTATTTATTTGCAGGGTCCGAGAACCACATTATGACATACCGCTGAAAAAAGAAATATTCATTTCTGACTGAAGCTGGGAAGGGGATGACTACATCAGAAATATTGCCTAGTGCATTAAAAAACCAAGACAGATTGTTATGATAAATACTGTGATCTGAGAAAGAAAATTGAGGGTTGAAAGCTTGCCTATTTTCTCAAAATGTTTGAACTATATGCTGTTATAAAAGCCAGGACGATGTCTCCCCTCAAACCTTCAATTGTGTCCTCAGACTATCACAGCTAAAACACATATTAAATAATAAAATATTAACCATCTCAGAAACTTACCAAAGACTGGCTTTGTTTCTTAGTTACTCATTGGCACTGCTCCCCAGCACGTCAAAGGTAAATGTCTGTGTGTGTATGTGCAGAGATGAGCACATCATTTGTACACAAAAGTGTAACACAGGCCACATGCTTTAGCTGTATCAGCATTATTTCAAATATATGTTCCATATAGTGTAATCTGCACTACATCCTTTTCTTGCTTTCCTGTTCTTTCCTCCATATGCACTTAATTTGTTAATAGATCTGTATACAGGCTAAAAGGTAAAGTACGTTTTAGCATACAATCATAATCTACAATTTACTTTTATAATTCAGGAAATAGTTATGACCTTGAGGTAAAGCCAAGTGTTAAGAGTAACCGGCTTCTAGTTAACCAAAGAAATATTACATTGATGAAGAAAATGGCAACAGTTTCTAAATAGCATACGGTACATTTTACTTTAAGTTTTATATTTCAGGAGCTTCTCCCAACTCAGAAGTATGCCATCGCAGGGTTTTTCTGCTAACGCGAGGGTGACGTGCTCCGAGTTCTAAAGTGACGTTTCCACCAGCCGGTTTTGCTAATAGCCCTTTTCAATGCAAGTCCCGCCGGAAACGGTAACAACTACCTTGCAATGGGCAAGAGCTCTTTCTGAAAGCCAACTCCCCCTTCGTCAAGGTCTTTTTTTTTTTTTTTTTAAATAAAATTCTTTCTTGAACTTCCCTCCCCATGCCTCCCATAAGCAAAACTTTAAGATACTCTATCCCTCAAAAGATTCCTAAAAGGTTTGACAAAACATTTAGGATTAGGAACCGAAGTAACCTCTCAGAGTGCAAAGAAAATTCATTCATAAATCATATCACAAGCCAAAATGAAAACTGGGTGAAATCTTGAGTCGTCCGTTATATCTTCCTGCTTTGCTTCATTCTATATTCAATAATTCTGACACAAGAGCATTAGAAAATTTAATAGCACAATATAACATTTTCTAGTGGCACACGGTGATTCTAAAGATTCAGACCCTCAACCAGGGAGCCAAAAGACAGTGGGCTGAACGGTACGAGTAAAGTAGCAGTAATTAATATGCAAAGGAGTATTAATGTTGGACCTCATAGATGGCAAAACACGATTTGGTTCTATTAGGAAAGAAGAAAGAATCTGAAGACGGGATGATGGCAGCGAAACTAATATGATTAAAGGAGTCCTTTTGGAGCAACTTCCCTGCTAGTAAGATGATGTTAAGAGACATCTAATCTCTCCAAACTGACTGGAAAAAGCTTACACTGACAAGAACTGTGTCATGATCCCCAATTACTTTAAAATAAGTCTAGTTCTCACAGCCAGACTTTTTTTCCATAAACAAAGTCACTGGCAAAAGTAGCTTACAAGCTAACAACTGGCTGGATAAGACAACTTTATGTGACACGGATATCTTAAAACTATTGAAGGAAATGAATCTCAAACTTTCCATCACTAAGATTCTGCTATTCCAGATGCCAGCTTTAATAGACTACTATTAGACTTAAATGTGGGCGAATTAGTATTAGCAGAAAAAGCCTAAGATGACATACCTCTCAGTTGTGAAAAGTCCACGAAATATAAAACTCAAGAGCAACTGGCCTTCCTCAACAATAACAGAAAAAAACATATGTATATAAAATCTCATGCCTGAGATCTGAAGGCACGATGTTTTCTTTTTCTGTTTGTAAAACTGAATCCTGTTTATCAGTATTAATTTGCAAAATTTTTTTCTAGCTGCTTAAACCTAGGTTTTTGAACTACGCCTAACAAACTGTTGGCATGGTCCCAACGATAACCTAGATACAGGAACTACTGTGAGAAACACAAGTCTTAGACACTCCACCTGAGCTAATTATTTACCTGCTAAACAAAAGACTTAAACATAAAAAAAGAAGACTTCACAGTATATAATAGGTCTACAGCGTCACTGCTACTTGCTACCATTTTTAGATCAAAATATTATACTCTTTATTTCAGTTGTATGGTTATGAGTAAATGAAAAATGTTAAAAGGTGGCGGGTGGGGGCGTTGTTTTTTGGTTTGCTTTTTAAAACAAAGAACACTGAAGTCCATAGTTATTCCACAGGATGGCCATACCATGGCAGCATACCCCAAACAAGAAACTTTTGTAACATGAGTGCTAATCAGTATAAAGGAAAACAAACAGAAGGAAAAGGCTAGCTTAGAGAATATCCAAGACTGAACAAAAACACAAGCACATAAAGTGTGTGACAGAGCAGAGATTTCATATGGATTTATACGGTATACGTGTATGCACATACATGCACATATGACAGTCATACAGCTGAAGAAACTACTAGCTGAGATGGAGATTGCTATTTCTGTTTCAAAGGAGTAACTTTGAATAACTAAGAATATCTCTGCTGAAATAGTGTCATAAAAAGGGGCGGGTCAAAAGCCCACAGCAATTTGCCTGCAGGGAAAAAATAGACTTGAAAGAAAGAAAGAAGGTTGTTCGCTCACTTTGGCCTATTTAAAACACCAATAAAATGTACTGCGTGTTATTTGGAAGGAAAACATGTGCTCTTAAAATTAAGAGGTAAACTGCATAATGAAATATAAAGCTGGCAAAAAGTTTAAACTGAAATCTATTGCTGAAGTCTCAAACTGCTACAGTGACATGCAACAGAGATGAAAAATGGATTGAATGACTAATAGTCCAACTAGAAAAAGTATATTCCCTTCATTTTCAGGCACTCCTACTGCAACCACATGAAGCATTTATTTGGATCCGTCTCTAAGGAAGAGAATGGAGCATGATTGAGTATTTTATATTCCCAGGGATGGAATTCATATATTCCATTCTCTCTCTCTCTCTCTCTCTCAATATATTCACAATACACCACATCCACCCCATCCCTGTATTTAATTTCAAACACTGTTGAGGATATTTTAAACCCACAAAAACAAGGAAATGCAGAGTTAAGATAAAATCCACTCTTAAAGTATTCCCAGAGGCTCAGATTTAAAGTGATTTAGGTGGTGCTTCAGCTGCATTTACAGTAAGTGCGTGACTAATATCTCCCAACAAATGAAGCTGCAAAAAGACTTCATTGCTCTACACTCAAACTACTGAAATAATACATCACTTTTTAA